GTCCTATATTCTCAAGCTGAGGTGTCTGCTGAGAAAAGCCGCTCCGCGTCTCCCTGGTCTGCTGTGGGGGGCGCTAGCTTCGCATCTCCCTGGTCTGCTGGGGGGAAGCAGCTAGTGCGGGGTTGCCTCACCCCGTTTGTAAGTAGGGATCCGATGTAAGTCGGATCCATGTAACCCGGGGACTGCCTGTACTGCAGCCTTCTTCTGCAAAAGCTTATTATGCAAATAAAGCGTGGAGTAGAATATCCCTGTGCTTCATTTGCATAATTAATTAGTAGCTGTTTTTGCGCAAGAGGCTTTTGCGCAAAAAGGAGCTGTGTAGACGGCTCCTTTTTGTGCAAAAAACCCCTCTTGCACAAGAGCCATTCTTCCTAATTTTTTCAGTATAAACATAGCCCTAGTAAGGGCTGTATTGGAAGCTATTCACAGGGAGAGAGGCAGGTTCCAGTGTTTTTGGAACTTAATTCAGTGAAGCAGCAGTTTGGTCCTTTGCTTCTTATATGCATTGTTAGAGTGGCTAATGGGATGGTAGGGGATCAGCAGGGCTATGTGGTACATTCCTTAGGCACACATAGAGGCACTTGTAAGGAGACAGTTTCTCCTACTACTAGACTTTGAGGATGTGGCAGTAGTGGACTTTATGAGAAAGAACTATACAGGCATCTCTGGCCTTAGCAAAACAATATTTTGCTCTTGCCTCCTCAAATCTCTGCCCATGATTGGCACATCATTATGCAAAGGATTTTGGGGAGGCTACAAGATGAAACTTATTTGTGAAACTTATTTGTTTTACTTAAAAATTGCATTAGAAGAAGACTAGGGAGAGGAATTAGAACAATACTAGAGAAATGCCAAACCACTGCATGTGTGTATAAAGTGGAAAAATGTTTGTTTAATCACAATTTCAGATTGCTTACCAGTGTAAGGTGTCTTACTCTTCAACCATAGTAATTCACATTAGCAAATCTCCCTGTTCAGCAAATTGTGTTTAAAGTCAGATACATCTGCTAGCAGTACTGCAGTCTATACTGAGATTGGCCTCTCAGTGACTTTAATTATGTATTTTGTTCTTATGATGGAAAAGCCACCTGCTACTTCCTCTGTTTCCGCTCTTTTGAATTGTTGCTAAGAGCAGCAAATCAAACCCCAATGGCTATTGAAGATGCATTGGTTTAAAGGGCCTATTGTGTTCAATGTGCAGCACCTAAGTCGAACAGCAAAATGCTGTTCTCAGTTACATTTTGGTCAATAATACCATGGTCCACAGCTCCTCTTCTGTTCATCTTTCTGTCAATCTTTTCTCGCTTTCTTGCTCTTTTAAAAATGGAAGCTAAGGTAAGAAGCAACTGAAAAAAATGCTAACAGTAATTTCCATCTGAAGCATGGTTTGCAATTCTCCTGGATTGAACAGAAGGATGGGTTCTTTTTTGGCTAACCTGTTAGGCTATGTCTACACTGCAGGCTTCTTGGGCAAGGACTGTATTGTGCAAGAATTCTTGGGCAAGAGGTCTTCCACAAGAGCACGTCCACACTGTCATGTGCTTTTGCGCAAGAGATGTGCTTTTGCGCAAGAGCATCCATGGCAGTGGGGACACTCTCTTGCACAAGAAAGCTCTGATGGACATTTTAGCAATAGGGGTTTCTTGCGCAAGAAATTCATGTTGCCTGTCTACACTGCCTTCTTGTGGAAGAGCTCTTACACAAGAGGGCTTATTCCTCATGGGGAGAGGAATAACTCTTCCAGAACAAGCCCTGTTTTCCAACGCTGTACTGTAAATTTACTTGCGCAGGAACGCACGTGCAGTGTAGACACCCGGCAAGTTTTTGCGCAAGAATACCTGTTCTGGGGCTATGTCTACACTGACAACTTCTTGCACAAGAATATCTTGTGCAACAGTTCTTGTGCAAGAAGTCTTGTGCAAGAACACGTCCACACTGCCATGTGTGAGATGTGCTTTTGCGCAAGAGCAACCATGGCAGTGTGGACGCTTTCTTGTAAGAAAACCCTGCCACACATGCACACTGCCCTCTTGCGCAAGAGCTTTTGCACAAGAGAGCTTATACCTGTTAGAAAAGAGTGTAGCTCTTGCACAAGAAGCCCTCTCTTACTACGCCATGCTACAGGCAGTCCCCGAGTTACGCGGATCCGACTTTATGTCAGATCTGCACTTACGAACGGGACTTTTCTTGCCCCGGAACTCGCGGGCAGCAGGACCACCCAGACGCGCAGTGGTCCCGCCACCGCATTCTCCGGGGTGAGAAAAGCTGCTCCGGGTGTCCCTGGTCTGCTGGTGGGGTCCCCAGGAGACATGGGACACCCCGAGCAAAGCCACAGAGGCGGCGGGGGCCCGCGCCTCCAAGGCTTTGCTCGGGGGGGCCCCGGGCTGGTGGGGGG